CTTGTTATTCGGCAGTTGCTGAGCATGGCACCGTTGGTCCCCTTCCCAGGCCAATGGAGCCACGAGGTATGCAGTATCGACTTATTGCTAGTGCAGGTGGTTGGTGAGGTGATTTGAATTAATGTGTTTTGTTGTACCGTGAATAGTTTTTTGTTTGGGGTTACATATGATTCCAAGGTCTGAATATGAGAAGGGAAGAAAAAAACTGAGGCTCCTTCCGCTGAATGTAGAACGTAATTAGGCGTTCACGTGGTAAGGTACGCCACATTTCGGATCTCAGTATTGTCAGTTGTAACACAGTACTTTGTGCTTACTTTCATTCCAAACTACGACGACGAGGACCACTGATATTATTACTACGATGCCTAACACCCTCAGTTCTTTATCGCGTGTAACAAATACGACGTGCAGGGTCTCGCCGATACAACGACCGCGACTGTGGCTTTGCCGGAGACACATTTCTACATCGTCTTCGACTTGCTCAACAGTCGTTGTACCCAATACGGCTTCCACGGTATCCGCGCTAGAACCACCTCCAGCAGGCGGTCATATGCCATCTATCGCCTCATCAGCATTGCTTAAGCATACAAGGGAGCAGGCACTGAAGATGCCAGAAATTGTGTGGGCAGATGCAGAGTTAGACGAGGGTACTTGGACTAATTATTTAACATCTCTTCATTCTCTTACCAGCTCATACAGCTCGAGGAACCTCTTCTTTATCATCTACCACTACCGGCCGGGAAACGCGCAAAATGAACACTTACCAAGCTATCCGCGACGCGTTGTCCATCGCGCTTTCGACCGATGATTCAGCTATAGTCTTCGGTGAAGACGTCGCATTTGGTGGTGTATTTCGGTGAATATTCTCCAGTCGACGTGCTTAGAAATTTACATATCAAACTGACTTACAGATGCACACTTGGCCTTGCAGAAGAATACGGTCGCGAAAGAGTATTCAATACACCATTAACAGAGCAAGGCGTGGTTGGCTTTGGAATAGGGTATGCCTCTATGGGGTCTAAACTTGGCAATTCAACGCTTGGAGGCAGAGGAATGGGTGGGACGGCAATCGCAGAGGTACAGTTTGCGGATTATATCTGGCCGGCGTTCGATCAGGTGTGTAACCCTGTTTCTGTAGGCACCCTCATTTTCACTTCTCGACCGTTCTTAGCTACTCAATGAAGCATCGAAATTCCGATATCGTTCTGGTGGTCAATTCAATGTCGGTGGGCTCACGGTAAGATGTCCGACAATGGCTGTCGGTCATGGAGGGTTGTATCATAGTCAAAGTCCCGAGGGATTCTTCATGGGTGCAGGAGGTCTTAAGGTAAGTCAGTATCTACACATAATGCACATTCAATCTCGCTCGGATCTTAATCCGGAGCAAGGGCTTTTTGTTCAAGCGTACAGATGGCGTTCGAACTAACGAGTATCATTATTTTCACAGGTTGTGATACCCCGCTCTCCGCTCCAAGCCAAAGGCCTCCTTCTCTCTTCCATCCGAGATCCAAACCCAGTCATCTTTATGGAGCCGAAGGTCTTGTATCGAAGTGCTGGTAAGTCACCCAAGCTACGACAATTTTTGCTGTACAATTCGTAGTGATAATGGTCGCCTCCCATTTTTACGGTCATGAACTTGTGCTCGATCATGACTAAGAAAACATCTGAGATCAGGCTTGAAACCCGTCTCTCCTTGTCATTCGCTCCATCTTCCTATCTACATCGCTAATCTTTATTCCCCACAGTTGAACAAGTCCCTACATCAGACTACATCCTTCCCCTAGGTCGCGCAGAAATTTTAACTACTGGCTCAGATTTGACGATCGTGACATACGGGACATCTGTGTATCGGTGTGAACAGGCGATACACCTCTTAACGCACCCTCCTGAAGGTACTGGGATAGATAGAACCGTGAGAGATGCATTGGGTGATTGGAGGCGGACTCGTAAGGGGCAGAATACCTCAAGGTGATGAATCTTTATTGTATCTAAATCAACATGGCTAATACGATATCAACCTTCAGTACACCCACAATTGAACTGATTGACCTACGCACAATCCTTCCTTATGATCTCCCACTCGTCCTCCGCTCACTCGCTAAAACGCACCGGCTGTTGATTGTCCACGAAGGACCAACGACGGGTGGGGTCGGTATGCAGATTGCTGGCGATGTAATGTCAGGTTTCAACACGACCTCAACCACTAACGAATACGAAGAGGATGTTGGAAGAATGCGCAGGGAGGCATTTCTGGGATTGGAGGCTCCGGTTAAAGTCATTGGGGGTTGGGATACTCCGGGTGTTGCGTTACAGTATGAGAAGTTCTATATACCCGACGAGGTGCGGATACTGGATGGATTGTTGGAAGTATTGGCATACTAGATTCCCAAGACCCAAGCTAAGTAATTTAAGTAAAGTTATCTCTGGCGTGCAATTTGTTTAGATACCACGGCTGTAATTTGTCTGTAATTGTATGTAGTATTATATAGGTGCGGGTGTCAGAAGTTGACCTCAATGTCGACTCGAACCACATATTAGTAGCGATATTGGCCTAACAATGGTTCGAGTCCAACGTTCGTCCCATGTGAGGAATAATCCTCAGAAAGTTATTTTACACTACGTCAAGCAGCAAGAGCTATAGAGTTGCCCGCCTTGTAAGAGACTTGTAGCTATCTTAACATGCAAAGGAACATCCATACTAGCTTCAGATGAATTCTTTATGCTTCGCATTTGGGAAACCTGCATCCAAACATGCCGCGAATTCGATTACATCTCTATTGATTCCCTTGCGTTTGTCGACTCTCTGTGCCTACTATGTAAGACTTTTAATTTACTATCTACTGGTCCCGATTCATTAGCATGTCATCGAGAAGAGAAAAGTAATTGCATGGATGTGACTCACCAACTCGTCCCTCGATCCCAGCGTCGCATCGTCTTCTTCCCCAGTAACTTCCTCCTGTGACCTCTCTTCTCTCGATGTCGAAAGAGGCGGCCGTAATCCAAGATACTCGCCAACAAAGATCCTCATCAATACGACCCATCTCCGCATTGAGGCTTTGTCGAGTGCAGTGGCGTCATCTGCGAGGGTATGCCATACTAGTATAGATATTAGAACGAGGAACGTGGAACGACGCTCAAAACAAAGGAGGCTCGAAGAGAGACAAAAGTAGCGAGGGGAAAAATAACGTGAATAGGACAAACAAGGGGAATAAAGGAAGAATCACGAACGAGGAAACAGAAGGAAGACTACTCTCCCAGAATCTAATCACAGGCCACTCACCTCTCGGAAACGGTTCAGGAATCAAATGCAACACTGGGACGCCTCTCCTCAAGAATGGTACATGGTCGTCGCCCATGTACCCTATGTTCACCATCTGGGACGCTTTCGCAGGCAGAGGGTGGAAATACGAGACAAACGAGTCTTTGGACATGTGTGCCGATTCATCGGAAGATTCAGGTATTGATGGATCGACGAAGGCGTCGAGGGCGGCTATGCGGGCTTCGGTTGAAGAGAGAGCGGAGTATAGCCATGCGGTGTCCTGATGAGTGGGAGTTCAGGTTAGTGTCGTTTAAGATGGGGATTGATGCATGAGGACGTAGTACAGGTACAATGAAATGGGGAAGGACGAAAGGAAGGAGAGGAATTTAATCGGTACTCACTGACCTTAAAGTAATTCTTGATCATCGGCCTACCCTCACTGGGAGGTTTTGAACCCAATAGATCGAGCAAGATTAGATGTTCGACAGTGGAAAGGAGTGATAGCGAAGTAGGTGGCATGAGACGACGAGGGCCAATGAAACCTAGCATAGCGTCGTCGTTCGTAGTTGATGAGTTAGAAGAACGAGAGGTCATGGATGTCACGACCGAAGGTGAGCTGTAGGAGACATAGGTGGATTCCCATGTCTCTGCAAGGTGTCTATGTGAAGATGAGTGAAGAATAACGAGTGAAAGAGGTCTTGAATGGAGAAAATGCAGAACTACGCGTCTTTGCTACGTTCGGGGCTTCCTTGGGAACCCGAAACGAGTCAAGTAATTCCATCGCGGAAGGTGGGCTATAAACTTACCGTGCACCATATATTGAGTCTGTATCTGTCCAGCTAACAAAAGCTTCTTCTCCATCAAAGAACACGAGCTGTAGGGTAGTATCTGCAAGGTCTTCATCTTCATCCACAGGGAGGTTGTCATGTTCTAATTGAGATACCCGACTTTCTGATTGGAAATACAGCAATAGGTAAAGAGGCAACTCAGCCGGAAGCACAAAAACTCACCCAACATTCCATCCAGGCTCTCAGCTAAATCCAACAGCACTGCACATGGGAACGCGCTATCTATTGCGCCAACGAACTGGTCATTTGGCGGTGCAAAGTATTTGGAGTCAAAGTGTGCAGCGAGTATCAGTCGTCTATAAAGACACAATAAGGAAGTAAACAAGTACTGTACTAATGCATCGCAAAGACACACCTCGATGCCCTAGGATCCTTCGTTGCCACGACATTCACAAACTTCTTCTTCCCGAACGGTGTATCTCCCTCAAACTCGTCCTCTTCGACATGCCATCCTTTACCACCATTAAATCCATCCTGCAATATCTTGATGATATACTCTCGCACGAGAACATTGTTGGTAGTATCAGATACTCTTGGAATTAGTATTCGTTCCAGGTGCTTTTGGGTAGAGGATATTGGGTCCAAGGAGGAGATGAGTTCTTTAATTTCTGCGGTGGAGTATTGGTATGGAAAGGAACGTTCTCCAAGACGGTTGTGGGGTTGGTACGCGTGAACAAGGATGATTAGAAGAGAGAAGGATAGGTATAGAAAATGCATTCTTCAGTTGGGTATCTCGTATGTCCGACCCTCTCCAGATTCTCCTTACGCCTTGTCGAATTCCCCGTGCGATTGAATACAAAGCGTATCTTCAAAGAGGTTGACGAAGAGTATAGGATATCTGTCACACGTTTTATAATTAATGTCATATGTACTGCAATATACAAAACGATGTCGGCGCTATAGCCAAGTGGTTACGGCGACAGATTAGAATTTCCTTATCTCATAGTAATTCTCATCTGTTCCTCTTTGAGGGCGCAGGTTCGAATCCTGCTGGCGTCGGTTGACAATAAATACATGGAATTTTGTTTTAAATCATGTTTTCGAATGGGAAATCTGATCTACCACAACCCGTATCGGCACTGGTCTACCAGTCCGCGTTGCTGTGGATTCAAGATCAAGAAATTCAATTTAAGAAACATACCCTCGGAGCCTGGTTTTTGCTATATTACTAGAGCTGGACGCAACATTGAGGAAACACCACCCTGCAAAGCAAAGGTTCAATAAACTATCAGTCAGATTACAATTATACAAAACATCTTTTGTTGATAACTTCGAAAACCAACAAAGGATCAGCACAGCAAGGAAATTATCAAAAAGCAGTCACTAAGTAGTCAACGTGCCCGGGAGCAGGACGAAGGAGGCTCACATGCGATTGCATGCTACTTAAGCTCAAGCATGAAATAAAATATTATTATCATTCTTTGACCTAGTTCTCGTGAGGCATCAAGAGACGAATTTTTAAGCTATTAACGTGTAGCTTAAGGATAATGTTTCCTTGAGGGCGAAGAAAGTCGAAAGCACCAAGAATAAGGTCCCGGCACAATGAAGTTTGTGGTTTCCCCGACGACGCATTCACTCTTCATGACGGAAATAATATTTCTCAGTCGACTGATTCGACCTCTGTAGTACAGTTCAGAAATAGTACCGAGAGGAAGATGAAAATGATATTACTTACAACCTATCCTAATACCCCTTTGTTGAGCCCGTGTTGAGTGCCTATTTCTTATGCTCTGAAGCAGACCCCCTCTGTTCTACACCTTTCGCATCCTCACGGATTTCTTCCTCTTCAACTGCCACCATATCCTGTAGTGCCTCCTCCTCCTCTTCTTCTTCCTCCTGTGCCTCATCTCCAGGATCACTACCGTCTGCTTGATCCCCGTGTTCATCCGCCACATCACCCATCTCGGCATCTCCTTGTTCGATAGCGCCTACATCCTGATGTTCTTCATCAACATCCATTCTATGATCCTCCTCCTCTGCAGCTTGTACATTAGGGTTGATCGCTGCAGAGATCGAATCATGGTCCCCTGGAGCAACAACGTTACCAACGTGTTCTCCACGATGGACAAGCGGCGCAGAGGTGAACGGTGGAGGAAGGGTTTCTGTACCGCCAATAGTCGGAACTATTGGAGCGGCGCCGGGGCCAACGGCAGAAGCAGTGGTGGAAGCTTTTTCTTTTCCTTTGGTTTTGGTGTTAGTGGAAGCAGAAGCAGGGGTGACACCGTTGACGCTGGCACTAGCAGTTGAGCCTCGACCACTCTTGTCAGGTTTGACTTGGTCGCGGTATACTGTATACGCAGAATGTCATATTTTTTGGCGAAGCGAGTTCGGGTTTTCGAAAATAACAAAGGATGGACCCGGGATGAGTTGGTAAGGTGTTATTGGAATACATGGAATAGACGAATTGTGATAAGCGAACATGAGAGGACATCAGTATCGATGGCAAAGACGTCGACGCGACATACCCTGAAGCTCCGCGCTCAATGGTTCCACTAAATCCCCCAACTCAATCATTTCTAGTGCCTTGAGGACATCCGAAGCCGAGATAGACTTATGTTGTTTCGATTGAGCGACTTCGTGTGCGCTAGAGAATTCAAAGGTGCATTTCAGAGATGTTTGGAACGTAGAGGGGTCATAGGAAAACAGAGACTTGCGTTGCAGCTGAAGAGAGAGGTGAGAAGAGCTAAGCCTACGTCCAAAGAAGAGGACACACCTAGATAATTGATAAACACCGTTGAGCCCTTGACCAACGATAGTATGGCTTCCTTTTGTAGTTTCGTGTTATCCGGAACCTAGAGATTACAAGATGACCAGAGTAAGTCTAGGAGTATGACAAGATTCGAGGCAGGCAGAAGATAGAAGGATGTTGATATCTGCAAGTCTAGAAGATGTTTTACGGGCTCCAGTGGCCAGTACATCCGACATCCCAAAAATCTCATGGAGTGTAACACGATTAGCACCGACGCGTCGACGCGTCAGTACTCACAGCACTTTTTGCAATCTTCGTAACCAAGCTCTTCGGGAGCTCAAAGTTATCGATGCCCTCTGAAACTAGGTCTTGTTGTTGTTGGGCGGAGAGAGGGCCTGGGTTCTCTTTGCGGGGCATGGCTGGCTTCAGGATAACAGAAGCAGAGGTGAGCGTAGATAACGCTCAATCAGATTCTGGAAACGTGTGTATATACAGAGAGGAACAGAGCAAGATAAATTCAAAAAGCGAAAAAACTGCAATATGCAAAGTCAAGGATAACAAATTCGGAGGCTACTATTAGGTCCTATTATGTCACTCCACGCGCCGGGCTACGCTTTGATCTCCTTAGAATGATAATCCCTATAGTTAGGTTCATATCTCTGTTTCAAACATCAACCTTCAAAGATCGTTACACTCCCGGCCCTGATCCTATCCAAACACACCTTGCAGACCAAACAGCAAGCACTTACAACGTTATACGTACATGACACAAACAGCCGAAATGAGTGAGCTACATACATCTCATCCCAGCTTCGGCCCATCCCTCCTCCCATAGATCTGCGCTAAGAGCCCCAACACACCTCCATCCTCGAGGCTATCTTCTTCATCTTCCTCATACACAGGCCTCGAAGGCCGTCTCGCGCCGTCGACATATGATCCACCCAATCTACTTCCAACCTCTCCATCCGGACCAACTTCTTCATCAGGTATAGCTCCAATTCGCGACTCTTCTACTTCCGCATCGATGATTGCCGGTCCTGCTGGTGCTGGTTCTGGCATCACACTCCCTTGTGAGTCACCCAGGACAGCAGTCTGCGCACCCGCCATCACACTGGGCCCAAATATCGATGACGCAGAAGGTCCCGCACGCGGGTTCAATACCGACATTCCCATGACGCTACCACTACCTACACCTCGTCTTCGTGCAGCATGCTGGCTTTGGAGAAGAGCGCGGTCGTATTCTTGTGCTCTATCCGCCAGAGAAACTTCAGTCTTCCGCGTAGGTATAGGTGAGGGGGGATTCACAGGGTGTGCAGTAAACGGTGATATTCCAGAGCTTTCCATCTGTCGTCGGCGGAGCAATGAGTTGACCGTAGGATGTGCAGCAGTGAAATCGTGTATGCGGCTAAGGTAGAGGGAACCTGAAGGGTCTGGTGTCCATTCGGGATTGGCAGCCTACAAGACAGGAGGTCAGGATTCAGGTATTTCACAGATGGATTAGGCTTGGACCTTGAAATTGAGGAAACTCTTCTCCATCTTCCCTTCGTTAGATAGCATTCGTGGATCCTCAATCTGGCCTGGGGCACCAAACTGGAAGGAAGACAGTATCAGTCAAAGAAGATTACGATCAATGTCCAACGAAGACCATATTCATACCTTAACATTACCATGTCGTTCAAAGTTGAATTCAGCAAAACTGCAAACATAGCCACGTCCATCGACATGCACAGAAAATTCACGGAAAAAATCGATGATGGCAGGTGCACAGTTGGGTAAGGAAAACCATAAAACGAAAGGTGTAAGTACTACAGAGAGGACCTCTTCAACGAAGATCATGATCTTCATCGCAAAAAGTTCTCCGAAGTCTTGATGGACCTACGTGCATATAAAATCAGCCATGAGTTAGAAACATTTAGATGGATTTAGATACCTTCTTACTATGCAAATGTGCCTTCCACTCATCTGGCATGTAGTGAGTGTAATTGATCACCTCCGTCATAAGCATCTCTGGATCGAACACCCGGTTGTCTTCTGGAATCATACCCCTTGCGACCGCGAGCACAGATCCAAACAAGGCAAGATAAAAGACCACGGTGCGATGAGGCGTTATTTCGAGATGTACAAAAACGTCGGGGTCTAACACCGTGGCAAGAAAGAGGACAGCGGCAAAGGATCCTGCGATGAAAGCTACAAATCTGTAGTCAATCGCGAAGTTAGTCGTAGAGAGGTATGCGTAACGAGTAAACACATGTACCGCATAATTATAGTCATCTTTTCGTTTGGGAACTGTCCAATGTAAATGTTCGCCAATGGGTAGCTCTCATCTAGTCGGCGAATGAACAGGTGCGGAAGTTCATTGAACTCTCGGAATTTCCACTGAGCGTATGACGTGTACCGCCGGCCACCAATCGTAGAAGGGTCTTTATGGTATTCCTGTGTTGTTCAGTCAGTCATTAAAACGATTCGAAGACTGCTATGCTTACTTCAAAATATCGGAAGAATGAATACATAAGAAGATACAGGACGATAAAGGGGGCAAATATCGCGTTCAAAATGCCCATGAAAACGAATCGTCGTCGCAGTCTGCCAAGATGTAAGATATATGTCTGAACTTGTGCATGATCGCGACTAACCCCTCGATAAGGGCCGCGCGATTCTTCGATTTCAAGAACAGCTTCCGCACCCTTCCATGTTTGTCAAATAGATACTCCATAAGACAGAACCGAAGATTCCACTCCAATGCCTGAGTGAGCATCTTGCCTCTGCTCTTGCTTTGATCTTGGGAAACAAATCTCTTGAGCACCGTTGGCAGAGGCACTCGCAGATCTAGTAGGTCTTTGTTAAACAAAGCGATGAGATAGTTTTCTTGTCGCATGATTCTGTTCGCAATATCGTGCGCGTCAAGCTTGGCAGTGGTCGTATCATTACTGCTAACACGATTGGAAGAGATGGCGGTAAGCGGATTCTCTTCACGAATCATACCTATCCGACGGACGATTTCGGACCAGGATATTGTCTGGATGTCTGCCTGAAAACGAAATAAGCTTGTACAGTATTTAGGGAAAACGACACTAGGCCTTACGTCTGGAATCTTGAGAAGATGGGTATAGAAGTTGTACATGTCGACGAGACGCATAATACCTAGGACAAAGGTGGCAACCTGCCAGACATAGAAAACAGTAAAGAGGATGAAGAATAGCAGGGGGAATCCAGAGAATCTAGGACAGATTAAGGCAGAGGCCCGCAGCAAAGGACATGGATGACTTACTTCGAAACGCAGCGACCCACTATTGCTTCTGATAATCTCATC